GAAGTCGATCGTGTGATTTCTTCAGGTCTTCCATCCTGGTTTGGAGATCCTTGACCTCATCGTCAAATGCCACAAACGATTCGTTAGTGGTCTTGTTTTCCTCGAGTAAGGCTGATTGGGTTTTTTCCAAGTCTGCGATTCAAGACTCGGATTGTTGACGATGTTGGTCCAAGAAGACCGTCCGATTGTGAAACTCCGTGGTGTTACGTTCCATTGTATGTGCTTGGCGCTGGATAAGATTTTCGTAATGCGCCACTGTTTGTTGACGCATCTCTTCCACCACGTTTGTGACGAGATCGACTACCCAATTCTTCACATTTTCGGGTATGTTCGCGTTTGGGGGCGCTGTGTCGGCAAGGGCTTGACGAATGATAGAATTCGGGGGTTGCAAAACAATATTAAGTCATGCGGGAAGCTCCGGAGATGGAGCACGAGAAAAGCTTGGATCATTGGGGGTGGGAGTCGTCATCTTTACAATTCTTCTTCTATCTCACGAAGATGCTCTTCGAACTCGGCGATATGCCTATTGGCGATCGTGGCCTGTCGGACAATTACTCGTCCTGAGCGTTGGTTTCGCAGCAGACAAAGGTCTCGATGGATGACCTTGACGAAGGGTTGCCACAAAAACCTGGTCTTGTCCCTGACTGCGGGCCACTGATGTTTATGATGGATTTCGCAAATGCGCTCAACTTCTTCGAGCCAATCGATGAAGCTATTGTAAGCTTCGGTGAGACGGTCTTCGGGTTCTTCGGACCCAATAGGGATATAGCAAATATGAACCGCGACGTTCCTCCAATCAAATTCTGGATAGATTTGGAGGGCGTATATGTGATATACGTCGTGGTAATCGATGTCGAACATGTCCTCGTATGTAGCAAACGCTTCGCCTGCTCTGTCTCGAAGAACACGTGGAATTGAATCCCAAAGATAATCGAAAGTGTGACCGATTGGATTGAGTTGCTCAAAGTTATCAAGATTGTTCGAATCGCCAGATGAAGACATATACAAAATGAATATTCGTATCTACAGCAAAGGTCGCCCTGTGACCTGTATTCCTAGATGATACTTCTGGATAATATCTCTGATTATCCAGCGAGCTTCTCCGCCCTGACGCTTCCTTTCCTGGACGTAGTTGCAGAAGTCGCGAACCACGTGCTGGTGAACGAAGGAGAGCTTGAATTCCGCTATGTCGGTGCGGATGGATTCGAGCTTGGATATGAGATGCTCGAGATCGAGGATGTCGTGGTCGTCAAGCTGATGACGATATCGTTTAGTGAGTAGGATACGAATTTGTCGAAGGGTGTCTTCGACGCGCTGAGTCGAGATGATGGAGACGGCGAGAGGATAGATGAAATGAGACCCAGTAGCGGTCTCGACGTATGTCCCTTGATTGAGATTTGGACCAGATGGTCCTGCAGGTAGTCTCGGTCACCTGACCGAGGGAGTCTGAATAATAGAAACTGAACTAGTGCCACGAGGGGGCCGACCTCCCATAGAGATGTGTCCTGGCCTTGGCAGAGGTCTTATGGGCCGCTGCTCGTAGAACTCTTCTGGAGTTCTTGCTTGAGGACGACGGATGACACCGTCGATGCTGCACAATGCCTTGGTGTGGCTTACGCTGGTAGAGTCGGCGACTGACAGAACGTCAGGTGAAGATATGACACCGCTAACGTGCGGGTGGACATGCGAAAATGCAACACTGCGGCGAGTACGCTGGGCAGGCACTTGAGGCAGGTAAGATAAGCAGACTTATTCTTCTATCACAAACTTAGGACGCAAAGCGCCGACTAAGCCTATGACCTTATAATCAAACACTTACTGACTGTTGTCGAAGTAAGGATGGACACAAAGATGATCAATGGTAAAGCAGCGACTTGCAAGTGGTCACTGGTGACACTATATGGATAGACGTAGCAGAGATGAGAATAAGTCTGGGAGACTTATGCGTCTCAGAGCTCTGGCTTATATACATGAGGGAGGGACCCTTGGTACTCTGATTCCCCAGAACCGCTAGCTAATGGACATTGTCTGATTGGTTACCACTACTTGTCAGACTACGTGTGTCATGTATGCCAAATCTCTGAACTACTTAGTAAGACCATGGGAATGGTATTGCCTGTAATGGCTACATCTCCGGTGGTGTGGTATCTATCTACCTCGTGCATGTGAACTAATATCCCCTTAAGGACATATCTCCGGTGGCATGTATCCCCTTCGTTGGATTCTTCCGGAGTCCGACCGTGGCTTCTAGGTGGGATGATATTACTGTATAAGTTAGGCTTACCTAATACCAGCGCTACTTGTCACATGTGTGGATATCACGTGATATGTCACGTGACTAGACCTGGACCTTCTGGGCGTCTAGGACTGTTAGTACTTCGCGTACTGGTTCGTTCCTTTCTGAACAGCCTAGCGCTGATGTCAAATGATGTCTTGGTCACGTGCAGAGGTGAAAACGTGAAAATCTGTGACAACTGCATGCCTTGACACTCTCAGTAACATCTTAGTTCTTGCAATTGCTCTGTTCACCATGAGCTTCTGAGGGCAAATGAACCCAAATAATGTTAGTATCATCCTTTTGTACACATTAAGTGGTATATAAGGTGTTATTATGCTGTTTACCTTATTCTCATCATCAGGTGGCACTGAGTGATTCAGGTGCTCTGTATGATTATCATTTCATCATCATTTACAATCTGTTGAGTATCTCTACCTTGATAGCACAACTGATCACCACGTATGTAGAGAATGAGCAAAACTTCAATGTGGTCAAGCAAGTCCTTCACTATATAAAACTATCATCAAAAGGCAAGAGGATGACAGTTGCCGATTCATCATCTGCATGGCCTGAGGAAGGTAGGATTGAATTTAAGAATGTTCAACTTGCATATCATGAGGGTCTACCCCTCATACTCAAGGGTGTCAGCTTTACTGTAAAAGTCAGGGAAAAGGTACTTGTCTCTGCACGATCGAATGTATATCTGTAAACACAGTTGCTTTAAGTGAGAATTGTGGGACGAACAGGGTTAGGTGTGCATGCTGCACAATTTATTACTTGAATGCCATAATTTATCTGTTTCTCCATATGCTTAGGTAAAAGCTCACTCTTTCAGACTTTGTTCTCATATGTATTGTGCAGAGATCGTAGTACTCTAGTCTCATTGAGAATTCCTCCTACAGGATGGTCAATCTGCAAAGCAGAATAATCCTCATTGACGACAGAAATGTCACAGAAATTGGATTGGACATATTGCATGCAAATCTAGTGTTGGTTCTGCAAGATGCCCTTCTTTTCAAGGAATGTTGCAGGAAAATCTGTAAGTGCAAATTTACAATAGTATCACTGATAGTGAACAGAGACCCACAATGCACCAGAACTGATGCAGAGCTTTTAGCTGCACTCATAAAAGCTTCACTAATTTCAAAGCATGTCACTCCAAATGACACAATAGATGAAAAGTTCTCTTTTAATTATATGGTGGATGATGAAGGCAAAGCAGGCTTTTTTTGGCTAAGATATGTGTGATGCTTGATTTTCACCATCTACAGGTTTTAATTACAGTGCCGGAGAGAAGCAACTTCTCATGCTGAACTCCATCATCTGATTCCATGGTTTATATGTGCATATGGATGAGACCAATGCATGGCCAGTCAGTGCTTCTCTAAAAGCATCTCCTGTGACCATTGATGCAGTTGCAGTATCTCAGAAGGACTGGAATAAGAATGATGAGCTGGCGAAGATCAACATCTCACTGAACATTGTCAATTTCATTGGAACTGGCATCGTTCAGGATGGGAAGACTGCTTGTGAAATGTGGAAGGCATTAGTGGTGAAGAGAGAGTGCAAGAACGAACTGACAATGATGAATGCTGAGGATTGTCTCAAGATATGTGTTTAGGCTGAAGGGATGGACCTTCAGGATCATTTCACTGAACTGTGGTGTTGTCTGCATGCTGCCCGTGACCTCCAATCTTCAATTACTGATGTGCAGTTTGCCATCATCATGTGCCATTCCATGAGGGCACTTTCATATATAAAGCTGGTGACTATCTCGCTTCTCCTCTAGATCAACCCTGAGATTGTCATGGACTCGATCCTTGCAGTGTTTGAAAGTGAGCATATACAGTCAGACAGCGCCCTCAATCTAATGAGCAGGAGTGTCATGCTGATACTGGAACTACTAGTGTATTCATGATGTGCATGAAGGTGGCAATTACCTATGAGTGGTGTGGATGGTGTGGACATCAGAAGGCCAACTGCTATTGCGAGGAAGGGGAATGACTGGGACAGCAGCCTGCAACCTGAAAGACCCTTTCACACTCGAAGAAGGGATCTCTAGCTGAGTGAGCCCTCACTAGCAAAGCACCTTCCAATGTTGTTGTCCCACAGGTGCATCTGACTGTCATGGCAGCTGACTATGGAATCGAGGAGCATACAGTGCAGACATCTAACTACAACTATCATATATTTTCCACCAGTGGCTAACATCTCCAATCAAGTTCCTTCCACTACTGTTGACTCTGACCCCTCATGATTCTTCACCTTTGCCAACACTGGGGTGACTCATCACTACTTCACTGACCATACTCATTTCACCAAGTACATGTCACTCACTCTAACCTTGGGCAACAGTGTGAAGAAGGATTCATCATTCTGTGTTGTGGGGGTCAGAAACATTGCTGTACAGGTTATGGTTGATGGGTGCACATTTATAATGACATTTCAGAATGCTATCCATGCATCTGAGCTGGCAGCAAACCTCATTTCCATGTTATGACTCAACCACACTGGGTGCACATACTTGGGAGAGCATGGCAAGCTGACCATTCATGATCCATTGTTGTGTCCAATCCTCATCCATATGCTTACCTCCGGAAACCTCTATGAAGTCACACTTGAGAAAGTCAACCTGAAAATTCTGCCTCACCTTTCTTGGGCTCTTCTCGCTTACAATTCTTAGGTGTTGGCCATGCTCGGGCTCAACTCCACTGCAGATGTGATGGCTTGGCACCATTATTTAAAATATATCAGCAAATGCACTGTGGAAGAGATGTGAAAGGACATGCCGATCACCAGAATGGTCATCAATGGTGGCAAACCAGTTGGTAGATGTGAGGATTGCATCAAAGGCAAGCAGACCTGTGCCTCATTTCATTTTTCAGAGGTTGAGACACAACTCTTAGAGCATGTCTATGTCAATCTCATGGATCCTTTCCTGGTGTCCTCACTAGGCAGCACATGCTATCTGATGACGATCGATGACGGTGCATCATCATTTATGGCAGTCTATCCCCAGGCTAACAAGACCAAGGAGGACACCTTGTGGGGCTTCCAGGTTTTCCCTCACATGGCAGAGTGTCAGACTGGCCAGAAGCTCTGTAAGATGCATTTCAACAATGGTATCAAGTTCATCAATGATGTGTGGACTGCCTATCTACAGCAACACAGAATGGTCTCTGAACTGATGATGCCATACACCTCTCAAGAGAAGGGTGTCAGTGAGTGAGAGCATCGTACACTACATGCACGAGCGATGCTTTATGACTCTGATCTCCTGAATTATCTTTAGGCAGAGACTTTTCACATGAGCATATACCTCAAAGGCATGGATGAAAGTGGCTGACAATGTATGCATCAAGCTGGATCCTGAGTCTCATCAGTGTCAGCTTGTTGATTATACTGATGATGTCAATTATTGACTCTGGAGTTCCACAGCAGGTCCTTGAGGGATGATTGTGTAATTTCATAACATTATCTTTGAAGAGAGCACCCCTCACCAGACCATTGAGAATATCATCTTTGAGCACCCTGCCCCACCTGTTTTACAGCAAGCTGTGCCTGTGCCTCCACCACCATTGCCACTGCCACCTCTGACCCCTTCTGTCTCACAGCAACCTGCCCCACTGCAGTAATCTGGCAGGACCCCAGTGGAGAGCCATGCTTTGTGAGAATCTAAGGAGATGGCCAAGCATGAGGATGAAGCCCAAGCACAGTGGGAACTCTGGGATAATAATTCACCTCATACAACTGCAGCCTATGTCACTTTCCTTGCAGCTTCTGATACACTGATTGATTTTGATACATTTATCCATGAGGGGGTGGGGCTGTGCCCTGCAACATTCAAGCAGGCCATGACTGCTGCTGAGATTTGGCAGCCCACAATGAAGAAAGAGATGTTGGGCTTGCAAAAGATTAGGGCATGGAGGCTGGTACCACAGACAAGTGACATGAATGTCATCAGGTGCAAATGGGCATATGCATAGAAGTTTAATGAGGATAACAAATGGAAACAAAGGCTCATCTCATCACAAAGGGCTTCCACCAGATCACAGGGGTTGATTACTTCAAAATGCATGCTTCAGTCATGCACTTCGAGTTCCTCTGAGTGATCTATGCATTGGCCACCTACGCGGGAATGGAGATGAGGCAGGATGATGTTGAGAAGGTGTACCTGAATGCCTCACTGTCTGAAGAGGTCTTTATGGAGCAACCACCAGGCTATGAGGATCAGGAGCATCTCGACTGAGTATGCACATTGGATTGTGCTTTTTATGGCATTATGCAGTTCAGTAATGAGTGGTGGAAGGATTTGGATGCCACTTACTCTGATCTAGGCTTCTCCCATTCTTGTGCAGATGAATGTGTGCATGCCCAGATCAATGACAAGGGGCTCTTCATTACAGCCACCTACATGGACAACATCATGTTGGTCTTAAATACTGCTTCAGGACTTGTGGTTACACTTGGAGACTTGAGAGCATGATACAAGCTCAGCAGAGGTGAAAACTGAAGTACATGCTTGGGGTGGCTATTGAACATGATCGAACTAATGATACCTTGCGACTTACCCAGGGAGCATATGTGCAATGCATGCTGGCATGTTTCAACATGCAGGCCCAGTCAAAATCCTGTATGGTCGGAGTGAGGCAAATTCAGACAAATTTGAGCATTGTAAGCACCCCATTCTATCTCACCTTGCATGACAAATATGGACTTTTTCACTGGTGCAAAACAGGTTTGATCAGGGCAGAGCTACACAGAATATACGCATGTAATTCATCTCTTTCTCCCTGATTTCTCCTTTTGTTCACTGCCTCCCTGGGCTCCGCTTCTCCTGATAGCCCCATATCCACCCTGATGTCTCCTGTTCTCCTTCATCTCACTCGGCTCACCCTTGCTCTGCCTCGATCATCACACACATGCCTCACACTCCACTACGTCCTGCTATGTCACATTTTCGCTCACCCTTCACTCGATCTCTGGACATAGAATAGATAGTTAATGTAATTTGTTCATGTGCATGACAGCATGACTATACCTAGCTAAGCTGCCACTGTATTTCATTTCTGCTTTGAAGCCTGGCTGCGAAGATCTTCGTATTTCTGATCATAATGATATGTCAAGTATTCCAATGCACCGTAATCCCGAGAGTACATACCTTTAGCTCATTGAATGAAAGGCCTTGGAATGATGCTTCAAAAGCATTCTTATCAGTTGCATTAGGATGGAGTTCAAGGTAGTCTTTGAGATAGAGATTCCTACACAAAACTGACACATTACATGTATAAATCAATGAATTGTTATGATGCATAAGACGCACCTGACAGAGTTCAAATTCTCATTGTAATGCAGCTTCACTGGCTTTATCTGATTCTTCTGCTTGACTTCGAAAGCCAATGTTGGATGTGTGGCCACGTCTTCTTGAGCAGAGGATGCCTGCAATTCAGAAGTGATCTTGGCAAGGGCAAGTAGGGCACCTACGTGAGATCAGCAATGTGAAGCCATCTATGCAGTATTCGTACTATCTTTGCTGCTTGCAGCAGAAGCCAACTCCTTTCCTGAGGCTGCATGTTGCTTTTCATGAGCACGTAGGCTTGTTATGCGATGGCTAAGGATGCTGTGAGTGCCATAGTTCTGAAATGACTATCCACACATACAGCGGGTTTACAATCTGAAAATGCCAAGATTGTGTTAGCATCATCTCTAGTATGCATAGCGTACAGCTTGCTGACCTCTAGCATGGCTGCCTCAGGCACCTCAGATGGCAGCAGAGAATCTGTAGCAGAATTGTCATCTATTTCATGCATGTTAGTGCTGTCCATGGGAAGTGCACCAAAGATTGGTTCCAGGAAAATGGACTGAGAGTGAACGTCATTGATGACAGATAGTGAGGCATTGGAATTCACAGTAATGGGTGTAGTAGTGGACTCGGTGGTGACAAGAACATCATTCACATCACATGATGAAGGCATATTGCATGCCGTTGGCTGTGTCTGAACTGCAAGCATGGTGGCAGCATCTTGAATAGCGTTAGTGAGCTCCTGTTGAAGCGATGGCATTTTGCCAATGGTACGAGTAATAGAGAAAGTTGCTGGCAGTGAGACTGAAGTGTTGAAGCCATTGATGTTGCATACATTTGCAGTATACTGTCGCATCAGTGATCGCCATCAATTATTCATGAGAAGCATTACTGATTACAATGACTGCTTTCTGAGACGTGAAAATGGTGGGTTCAAAGAACTTGGGAGGAATATGAGCATGGGGTGTCATTGCAGCCACTCGTTCAGCAGTAGATGAGCTTGAAGAGGCAGCTGGCTGAGGCTGTGCAGTTGGCATCACTCTTCCAGAGGGATAGGATGATGTATCTATTGTAAAATTGCATCAAATTCATTGTAACCAGATACTGGCAGTGCATGGATTAGTATACGTCACCTAGGGTACCTCTAGAAGACTTGTGGTGCTTTGAAAGGTGCGTCAGGCTGTCCTTGCTGTGGCATTTCAGCAATCTTGGCTTAGGTTGAGGCTGAATCTGCTCCTCTGCCTTGAGCCTGACGTGATACTTGTAGAAGGTCAGATAAGCCATCGTTGCAAGCTTCTTGGCCTTTCAATGAGAGTCACAAAGACACATCTCCTCGAAGCACCTCGCCATCATGTCAAGGTACAATGTGAGTGACTCTGCATCTATGAGCCCCTATTTAGGTGTCACCTTCCCTTTCTGTCAAAGCTGATGCCAGATTGCACATGCAAAGTTCCTTATGTCCTCAGCTCTTGCTTCGGAGACAGCTCTGCCATTGTGGTCCTTGATGAACTCATAGTTTCTGGGTTCACTGCAGCTTTCACAGATCTAACGGGGTTAGTAGCATCTAAGGATTCCTCATCACTGTGCACTTACTGGATGCCATTGTGAGTCGTAGAGTTGTGTTTGATGCCATGGGCAACATCACAATTTTTGGCAGTTCTCCTATTTCTCCATGATCAAGATGTCCAGCACTTCACTGCGGGGTAATTATCTGGGTCATAGGGCTCCAGCAGGCCGGCCAAAAGTGTAGATGAGTGATCAGCAGCAAGAGAGGGAGCAGCAAGGAGCAGTATGAATGAATGATTGACTGACAATGTTGCAAAACTGACATTCGTGCCTTCAATGTGTTGGATTCTCAGAGCAAGCCATTATAGGCATTTCTGTATGACATTGAGCATAGCTAGTGGCATGCTGATGAGTGTAGTTAAGCCATTACTTACTTTAGAGCACCATGTTGTGCTTGAATTTGACTGTACTTTCTTTCAATGTGTGTATATTTGCTGAAGAGGTCGCTATATGCATGATTTTGTGAGAGCGATACTTGATGAGAGGCTTCAGTGAGGCTGGGAGAAAGCATTGATGGCAGCATGCTCACCTACAGCTTGTCTGATCAATCGGCTTATGATTTAAAGAAAATGTACCCACTGAGTTATTGTGGAAGTTATGCATGTGATTGAATGGTGTTGGTGGCAAGGATAGAGTCTCTGTGCTGGCTGGATTGAAGGTGCTGTAGTGTTCATCATGATACAGTGACCCACAAAACTGTTGATAAGATTGCTCACTTCGACTTGTATAGTAAATATCTCCTCAACCAATGGGTCAACTACAT